CAAATTTCTACTTGAACACTTGGGAATTATCGCGGATGACTTTATACAAATTATTGAAGCCCATACGTGAAGGAAGGAGCAGTTAGGTTTTTAAGTGGTCATTATACAACCACAGAATAAAGAAACCCCATCCTCTCTTCTCAATCCTATCTCTGTGATACCATTGCTCCTTCGAGTAGGAAGGATCCCGCGCACGATCGCGCTTGTATTGTATCCGTACACCCCTTTGTGGAAGTAACCAAAAGACATGTATTATATATCATAGTCAATAAAAATTGAGCGAATTGTATTTTTAAGTGTACACGCGCACACGAATACGGTAATATATTATAATGTATTACTTAAAGAACGCCAAATGAACACGTCGAACGTATTTTGAGTTACTAAGTGTTTATTTATCCTGTTACCCATACAGGCAAATAATCGTTGACTTCGTGCAATTTCACGTCTTAAATTATCTTAACTTTTGCAAATCGAGAAATAAACAGATATAAAAAATTGAATGAGTTTATTAAAACTTCTGGTTTTAAACTTAGTTGTGTTCATATAAAAATTACATTTAGTGTCGTTCTTACATTATACGTTTACGAATGATCAAGTTATTTGCCAAGTTACAATTTCATTCACCGAATATATTTTTTTTTTCATTTCTTAATTCTTATTCATTTCATTAACAGTGTCGGAATTTAATTAGCCATTTCGTAAAGAAATGCAATTTTTACAATACGTCGCAATAATTCTAATTTATATACATATCTACAGTATAATTAAAGCTATGTGTCATTAATAATAAAACAGATATCGACAAAAGTTAGAGCATGTCCAAAAAAATAAAGAATATTAAATTCATTTCGTCGACGTATTTTTTTTTTTTCAGGCACTGCTGTCACTATTTATACTATCTTATCTACAAAATAAATAATAGTCGGTACATTTTAATTTTTAAACGTCAAATAAATCATTAAAAAAAAATTACGCTAGGAGAGCTGCCAAAGCATCCAAGAATTTTGGTCTTTCCTCGGTTTTCAGTCTTATTACTAAAAAAAATAAATTAAATTTCGTTAAAAGACCACATTTTAAAGACAAAATCGTGTAAAATTCAGATCTTACTTGTTGCATCAAAGTAGTCTGCTTCTATGTTACAATTTGTATTTTTAGCTGCTTGTTCAAAGGCTTTTCCAAACAGACTATAATAAATTAACATTGATGCAATCAAACCAATTATAATTTAAAATAAATTCACAGAACCCATAATCCTCTTAAGCAATACATTTAAAACTTTTTCAATCTTTACTTTTGGTCCTCATCAGAAAATCTTAAATGTATTCTTCTAAACGTTAAATTAATATGTATAAACTTTTAGTAAGAGAAAACTTAGTCTAACGAATGTTTTTTATATAAATATATATAGTTAAGAGCATCATGAGTACCTTTGCATTTAAAACAATCAAGTAATTTCCATAAATATTATACTTGAATATATTATTTGTATGTATAGTTATTATTTGAACAGTATTGATTACCTCCTTGGCTGGTCTTCGCGCACTGGTGGTACACCAACCATGAGACATGTACCACTTTCTGGGTTAGATATGGAAGAAGCTACAAGTGGCCATTCCGATGCTCGTCTATTTTTCGAGGAATCCACATAAGCCTTCAAAGTAAATTGAGCTAACATCAGTAGCGGATGCGGATGAGCGAACACATAATTATCAGCACTTCCTTCTGGGATGATTATATAAAGAAACGGGCCAGCGCTCCTAATTTGTTTCATTTGTAAAATACCTTGCGCAGTCTTAAAAATACTACTGAGCATAAATTTCGCCTTCTCTATGCCACTTTCTAAAATATCTTTTTTTGTACGCGATAAACAGTCGAGTGCATCCAAAAAACAACGTTGCGGTAACTTTTCCTTCGACTGAAAAATTAAAATAACGTAAGCAACAACTTATTTAAACAATTAATGATATAATTCGGTACAAACATGTGTTTAATTATTTTTCAAAAATGATATGTTTAATTAATTATTATTCAAAAATGAAGGAAGTTTAAAGGAAGAAATGTGAATGAAGTTTTCCTTTTCAATCGAGTTTTATTAATTTTTGTAGGTTGATATTACGTTTATTACTTTTATTATTTATTGAACACATGCTTGTACCCAGATTGTACCACTGTTTTTAAATTGGACCGACATAATATAAGCAATTTTCAGAAATTTCATAAAATTAAATGTTAAAAGTATTTAAATATTATCAACTTACAGATGATTCAATTACAGCAAGCATAGCATAAACTATATCCGAAGCACAATATTTAAACCTGTAACCATATTGAAGTGTAAAACTCGTCCCGATTACGGAGTCTACTTTATATTTTCCAGCTAACTTTTCAATCATTTGTCTAAATTCTTGTCTAAGTGAGAGATCCATTGCAGAAAATCGTTGCTTCGATTGTATTAAAGGCAAGCCCATTTCTGCTAGAAGTTCCTTTAGTCGTTGTTCTCCTCTAACTGACCAAAGTCTTAATGATACAGCAGTTGGTACTGAATGTCTTAGACTAGCTTCTACGGTCCAGTGCCGATACAATGCAAGTGAAAGACTATAATGCATTTATAAGGAATTCTATTTCGTATTCTGTCCTAAACAAATAATATAACATATTCTAGGCAAAGAAGGATACTCTTTATCGTAAGTAATTCGGACTGTACTCTGCTGCTGTTGTTGCTCTTTATCAACATCACCACCTTGCTTGTGAGTTAATCGAGACACGTGAGAGTGAAGAGCACCTTCGTCAAGAACGGTCAATCTTGATTCTACCTTAGCAAGAATGGCTTGCTCTGTAGAACCAACTATAGCCCACCAAACCATATCCAAATTGTCTTTCGACATATTCCATGCCATTTCAAAAACAAGCATTGCACTCTGTAACAATACAAGAATTATCTAATTCATATTTAACACAGAAACTTGTGGTGCCTTAGATTTAGATAGTATTCCTTTTTTGATTCAGAATATTAATGATTCATATTAATATCAAGCTTACAGATTTGCCATAATAGCTATACTGCGTATAATTGAACAAAATAGTTGCTCTATTTTCAGCCCACTTTCTTCGTTCTGCCCTTTTTATAATATCTTCCTCATTCAATCTCCGTCTTTTTCTTTGAGATTCCTCACTTTCTGATCCATCATCTGTATCATCTTCATCAGACTACAAATTATAAAATGTAACATTTCGTTTAACATTTATGCTCATAAAAAAATTAAAAAAGCATACTGAATCGTCTCTGAAGACTTCATTATATTCTGGAATTTCATCATCTTCATCAGCTTTACCAAGTATACGAACTTGATCTTCCGAGTATATGTTACATAAATCATAGGGTCTATGACTATCAAGAATATAAAATATCACAGATTCAGCAGGTTGTAGTAATTCCACTAAGTCTAATGTACCGCCACAATTGATCAGAATAACATTTTTTATCTAAACAAATGGCTATTGTTAATTGTTAGTTCTATTGTAAATAAGGTACAAGTGTATATATTTATGAAATTGCTATTACCTCTTCACAATGTTCATTAAAGGCACAAATCATGTCCTGTATACCTTGGACAGGTATGAGTGTATATATCATATTATCATTTTTAAAAAGCTGCTGCAAAATTCTACAGGCACAAATGGCATCGACATCAAAGTTAACAAGTAGTAAACACCTCTGTAACAAAAAATTGAGACACATAAATAACTTCACTATAGAAATAAATAATTGTAATCTACATTAATATCTCTATTTCAGATTCAAAGATATTGACAATTCATTTCAGATAATATATATATATATAATAATATAGTACAAGTGGCTGTAAATACAATGCTATTCAATGAGTATAAACACAGAATCATGACAATAATTTAGATGTAAATAGAAAGTTAGATTGTACAATCGTTTAAAAACAAGCAGGAAGATTATTTAACCTATATAAATATGTCAGGCAACCAAACTCTTGACATGCAAAAAGTTAAAAATGTAACTCACGTCGTCCTTTATTGAGTGATAGAAACCCCTTTCTAAGTTTTCCACAAACATGTTGCGGTAATTCTCGGCATGGGAATATCTTTTTTTATTTATCTTGCTTATTCTACTCCGTTTCACTCCTTTTATTAATTCTAGACGACAGCGTGCTGTTCGCGCTACCGAATGGAATAAAATATACCGGTAGATATTAGAAACATTAATATTAAATTATAAATGTTCATCACAGAGGCTTATAAAATTCTCGAGATAAGTCAGAAAGAAACGATTGTATAGATTATATTGGAACTTTTAATCAATGTATAAAATTGTAACACAGAATTTGAACTGCAAACAATAACATTCGGATTTGGAGGCAAGCTGCAGTTGAATTTGAAAGTACTTGGTGTATAAAAAACTATAAGATGGGCTTCTACTATGTATTTTTATGCTGGTTCAAAGTTGTGCCATAATTGTAGACTATCCTTATTGTTTTGAATACGTTTGAAGTTAGTAACTAGCAGTTTATACTTGTATAGTCAAAAGTAAAAATTAAATTAGGAATGAATTTTAACCGTATAGTTAGGGAAAAACGAGATTCAAACACGAATTTGATTAATTCCATCATAAATTATCCACTGTATTTGAAGTTATAGGATGCAGTAAACATACAATTGAAGAAAAATTTAGACTATTAATCTCTTATGCATTCTTTTTCTTCAAATCGTATTAAAAAAGATGAATGCTTTTTCAATGGTTTTTGTTGCGATATAAAAATTGCGTTATAATAAACTATTTATAAAAAAGTAGTTTTTAAGTAATGATGTACCGATGAATGAGATTCTTTTGCAAGTGACCAATAACTAAACGCACTCTTGCGAATTAAATTTGCTGAAATTTATTTGAATCCTTCGAAATATCCTATAAATTTTGATAAGCTCCTAATCATATTTCTGTACACCATGAACTCGGGACTATTTTTAAAATGGGTGCATTCACTGAATCTACAGTACACTTTTTTCATGGAATTCATCGTTGGAAGACGCAGTTGCTGCTCCCGCGGGTTTGGTGTCGCATCGGTTTATTGAAATACACGTGTTGTTTCTACCTGCTTAAAAATGGCAGACAGCGGTAATTGTTACTACTTTTATTCGTATATAATATTATTTAATGTATTGCTCACCGTGTCGTACATGTTACTTTAAATCTGAATTTTGATTTCGTGCATAAAACTCGATAAAGATATTTACCTGTAGTTGTAAATATTGGTTAGATGTTTAGCGGCAAACACGTGTTTTTATATAGAATAATAATTCCGATCGAAGATATTACATCAAGTACAATGTGTTGTATATGTTTAGTGGGGCTACTTTATATTAAAATTAATTTTCCATACATGTGTATGGTTATTACATTCTGAAAGTACATATATCGATGATTAAAACGGTTATGTATTTATAGGTTAACTTTGATTTCTTGTTTGTAGATAAAAGTAAGAAGAAGAGTAAGAAGAAATCGCTTGGAGAAATACAAGCTACAATGAAGTGTCAAATTGAACCGTCCACTGATATTGTAAAGCTAGAATACAAAGATTGGCCTCTTCTATTTAAGGTACATAATGTGAAAAGAAATTTATGTTGTAACTAGACGAATAATGGTTTTTACGTATTTATGACTGAGAATTGATACGAATTAATATTATTTCAGAATTTTGATAAAATGCTTACCCGTACAAAACATTTCACACCTTTAACTTGTGGCTCGACACCATTACATCGCTCCTTATCCGAGTATGTAAAATCTGGCTGTATTAATCTTGATAAACCATGCAATCCATCATCGCATGAAGTTGTTGCATGGATAAAGAGAATTTTGAAAGTAGAAAAGACTGGTCACTCTGGTACCTTAGATCCAAAGGTATCTGGTTGTTTAATAGTATGTATTGATAGAGCAACTAAATTAGCCAAATCACAACAGTCTGCCGGAAAAGAATATGTTTCAGTTTTTAAATTACATTCTGCACCAGAAAGTGTTCAAAAGGTAATTTATTATTCACCTGTCTGAGATTGTTTCAATTTTACTTTAATAAATTAATCGTAGTAATGAAACAATGTAGGTAAAGCAAGCATTGGAAAAATTACGTGGCGCACTTTTCCAAAGGCCTCCACTTATATCCGCAGTTAAGCGTCAACTTCGTGTCAGAACAGTTTATGACAGTTGGTTCCTTGACTATGATGAAGAACGGAATATGGGAGTTTTCAGAGTTAGTTGCGAGGCTGGTTCTTATATCAGAACTATGTGCGTTCATCTTGGTCTGTTCTTAGGCACTGGTTGCCAAATGCAAGAACTACGTCGAAATCGTTCAGGCGTGCAGTCCGAAAAGGATGAAATGGTTACAATGCATGATGTACTCGATGCCCAATGGTTATATGAAAATCATGGAGACGAGTCGTATTTAAGGAGAGTAATTAAACCTTTGGAAGCTCTCCTTGTGAAACATAAGAGAATTATTGTAAAAGACAGTGCAGTATGTATTTACATCTTTTTATAGACAATTTTTTTAATTAGATTATATTTCTTTATGATGCTACATAATTACATTGATAGGTAAATGCTATTTGCTATGGGGCTAAAATTATGCTGCCAGGTATTCTGATGTATGATGATGGTATAGAACTAAACCAGGAAATTGTAATAGTAACAACCAAAGGCGAAGCTATAGCACTTGGTAAATAAATTTTCAAAGTAATATAGCACTGCCACACATTATTAGCATTAATTTAAGTGTTGATGTATTTAGAAAATTCAACACTTATATGTATAGTATAAAACTTCATCTATCGTCATAAGTGAGAGCATACGTTTTATTCATATTTACAATAATAAATAGAAAAACTTTTCATAGAGTATAAATAATGGTAATGATCGAAACATGATTGAAAATTATTAAAAATTATACTCCATATTGTTTCACTTACTAAAGAAATATATGCTCTCACTTATTTAATGTACACATATACACAACTTACATTAAATTTTTACAAAGTAAGTAATTTAGAATAATTTTACTGACGAATTTCTTTTACTATTATAGCTATAGCATTAATGACATCTCCCACAATGACGGCTTGCGATCATGGTGTCGCTGCAAAAATAAAAAGAGTAATCATGGAAAGAGATGCATACCCGAGGAAATGGGGTTTGGGACCAAAAGCTTCTGTAAAGAAACGCATGATAATTGAAGGAAAATTAGATAAATACGGAAAACCGAATGAAAATACGCCTGCTGATTGGTTGACAAATTATACAGACTATACTGCAGTTAGCATCAAAGTAGGCATTACACTTCTGTCTCCTTTCTCTATCTTTTTTAATAAGGAAAAAATTAATGGAATTTTATTCATTCTATACATAAATTACATCGATAACACACATCGTAAATGTTATTTTAATTAGAGTGAGGAGAATGGTACTACTGATACTGCGGCTCAAAAGCGCAAATGGGAAGAAACTATTCCAAAACCTGCACTCGATGTTCCCATAAAGCAAGAACAACCTGAAGATCCAGAAACAGCATCACCGAAAGAGAAAAAGAAAGACAAGAAAGAGAAAAAGAAGAAAAAGAAGGAAAAAACTGAATCTGAAGCTGATGATTCAATGGTAGTTGAAGGTGAAAGTCAGGTAAGAGCATTTTTAATGTTCATAAAGAATTGAAGTATCTATCAATCTATCTATCAATTTTTATTTATAGGAAACACCAGTTAAAGAGGAGAAAAAGAAAAAGAAAAAAAAGAAAAATAAAGATCAAGATCATGAAGCACTACCAAGTTGAACACACTTAAAATATGTACTTGTTAAAAGGATATGATAATCTTTTCGTGAATTTAAAGGGAAAAAATACGATATTTCATACAAGAGAACGTCTCTTCTATATAAAATCAATTTTCAGAAAATATATCCCATTTTATAACTTTGAATTTGTAAAAAGGGAATTTTTGTCGTCTATACATATACAGAGTTTTCGATAACTGGTGGTACCAGCGAAAAGGGGGTGATTTTACATAAAAAATAAGTCGAAAATATAAAATACAAATTTTTCATGTAAGGCTTCGTTTTCGAAAAAATGGACTTTGAATTTTCGCCGGGGACGGGTGTACTGGATCATGTCTCGTTATAACGAATTTTCGACTTAGTTTTTCATGTAGAATCACCCCCCTTTTGCTTGTATCACTAATTATCGAACACTCTGTGTATTATTCACCGTATTAAATTACAGAGAATACTTCATATGTCCTATAAGCTTGTACAGATCGTAATTGAAAACAATCTACATTTAATAATCGCTCAGATTATATTCCAAAACTTACAATAATACAGCATCATTTTTTTCTATTAATGGTAATGTATGAATAAAATAAAAATTACTATTGGAAGTTAAGTTCCATAAACTTCGGAAATAATAAAAGTGTATACAGTTACAATATTTTATATCAACAAATGTACATAGCGTATTACTTCTATTTGCAGAGTATTAAAATATTTTGCAAATGTGATCATTTATTTTATATTTTATTTACTGTAATACTATTTTTCTAATTTACATTTTTAAAAATGTGCAACAATGTGCAGCATTTTTATCCTGCACCATGTTTAATTTTATATTAGACTATTTCATCTCTGTTTTAGACATACATGTTTCACTTACCTTGTAACAAATGATGAGTCGCATGTAATATATAAATACCTGCCAAATTTATAAGTACACTTTAAATAAAAGTATATAAACCTGCTTATATACATTCTATTATTACTATTTTTTTTTGTATGAATAAAAGTAAAAAATTGAAAAAAAAATAGTAAAAAAATTCTGTATTGTATGCACTATTTTTGAGTACAGGTTATGAACACATTTCAAAAAGATGTATTTTTAATAATATAGTGCAAATTGTCGTTTAAGAAATAGTTATTTAAATACAACTGTATCGAGCATAGCACCCAGACATTGAACAATATTTGTAGCCATGAGTGTATCCACTTTTTCTTCTAAATGCCGTTTTGGATCTTGTTTACCCACATTTTTTATAGCTAATTGTTCAGGTGTCATTTTTTCTTCGTCCTCTAATGCCTGTAAGAGTCAATTTTTAAATTACCACATTTATTCAGGAATCTTAATTTTATTCATAAAAAGTTTTTAATATTGTATTTCAACACATTACCTTATTATAATTCTTCGCAAGTTCAAGCATCTCAGATACAATATTTTCATTCAGTCTACTATGTTCTGAATATTCAGCAAGAGTAAGACCATCCATCCACGTCTTTTTGTGTAAATTTAACAGCATCTTCTGTTCTAATTCATTTTTGCGATAGTTAATACTAATACTATAATAATGACGATTTAAGCCATGAATCAAAGCTTGAACCGATGGTTTTTGCAGATGACCTAAATTGGATGTAGTTTGACGGGGTTCTTGGCCTAAAACCTGTAATTTTATGTATAACATACACGTATATGTATTAAACAGAGGCAATCATATTTTTATAAATATTTACCATCATATTTGGATTAATTAGTCTAAATGCATCTATAACAACTTTTCCTTTCACAGATTGTATGGGATCAATAACAACAGCGACTGCTCTTTCGCTAAGAGCTTCGAACGACTGTTGCGTGTTAATATCTACACCAGAAAGCCAGCAACCAAATCCTGGATGAGAATGGTACCATCCAACAACCATTTCTGGCCGACCTGTCTGTTTAAGCATATCTAACATTTTTGCTTGGAATACAGGATCAACTGCCTCTACGCTGACTCCCTGAGAGGATAAACAATTATAACAATAATTAAAATACAACAAAATTGTGATATTAACGGTTATTTTAAAATAATACAAAACACAAGAGACAGCATTACAATACAATATAGTAGAAAATTGTTAATCCTACCGTTCCAGTTTGCGGCATAGCAAATACATCGATAACACGAACAGTATAATCATCAACAAATTCTCCAAGCATCAGACCCATTACTTCCATGGGTACACCAGCACGTCCGTGTTTCAGCATTTTCAAAAGTGCTAATGACGATATGTATACCTGGTAATATTAATGATAATAGTATGTCATTGATTTATTGTTTATTATTCATTTATTGGCTACAGTATCTAGAGGAAGACTTTTCTTTTTATGGCTTTTGTATTTATATCTTTTATCTACTTTTCTATTTTGTAATTGTAAGCGATATAGGTAAAGCGGTCGACTGTGGATCCAAGGATCAATGGGTTCGAATCTCTGTGCCCTAATTTTTATTTAGGCTCTTACTTAGTACTAGTGTTTTGTTTTTAGAACTTATGTATAATTGTTTCTGGAGGAGACCATTTAAAAATAAAGGTAACATTAAATCTATATTATGAATGAGGTAACAATCAATACAAAATTTTACAGGGAAAATTTATGTAAAAGTAGAATGAATATACTACCATTGTCTACAATTATTTAATTTTTCATTCCAATCTTCACATATTAGACATTTATATTCTGATAGAAAAATTATGAAATGTATTAAACCAGCAAATTAAAAAAATTAATAGCTCAAAGAATATCTTGAAACAATAATGAAAGGTAGGAAAAACATTATAAATTAAAAAAAATAAACTTTATATTTTTGTTAACTGGACTCATTGCTTTAATGCAATATATATCTTAACTATTTTGTCTATCAACATAGACAAAATTATGAGGTGATAAAATGAGAACTACAATGTATCAGAATATTAAAATTACTAAGTTCATAATTTGTAACTTTGATTACATGTTCTAAATAAAACTTATTTCTATGTAATAGTGATTGTCAACAAAATAGATAAATGCATAGATATATAATCAATTAAATTTTACCTGCTCTGCAGTGTCAACAACCGGAGCATCTGAAGTTGGAGGTCCTTGATTCAAACCTGGCATACCTCCACCTAATCTCAGAAGTCGATCCATATCTTTGATCTCTTATCTCTCAAACGTTTCTAAAAACATTATATATACAGTTAACTCTAGATCAGAAACAGAAAACATACTAATTACTTAATTATATATCCGTGTTCAATGTCTATCAATCTTCGACAAGGTTAAGTTTATCAACAACGCTCCAAAAAGAGAATAATGTTATTTTAGATAATTTAAATTATGCTGTTTATTTACTCACCTATTAAATTAAATAACTGATGGAATATAGAATTTACTGATCATACGTAGTATTAAATGAGCATTCTTTTCATAAGCATTGACACTTCTCAAATGTGCACACTCATGAACGTAGCGCAGTGTATAGTATAGCAACGTATAGCTATAACGAGTCGCTATAGTCGCTAATATCGACTATGTATAGTGAGTTCAGATCAGTTCAGATTGTGTTAGTCGAGTGTCGCCAGCGGCCAGCATGTCGCGTTCATAGAATAATACCAAATAATACAATTTCTAATCATGGTATCGGAAAGTGAAAATATGAAAATAATGAGTGAGAGTGTAAAAAGCTCAGTACTTAAATCAAAATATTCAGGAGGATCACATAATTTAGGTAAATTTTACAAATTTAAATTAAATTAGTTCTGAGAAAGTTCAGTTAAAATCAACAACGTATAAAATGAAAAATATCATAATTTGATATTTAGAGGTTATGTAGTTGGATCCTGATTACTTTGATAAGAATATAGAGTAACTTTAATATTACAAAGTTATAGAGTGACAAAATAAAAATTGCGAGAAGTTCGAATATTAATACTCTAAAAGTTTAATATAGTTCCTGTTATTTTGATTATTTCTTCAAATGAAATAATAGATTTATATATATTAATTTAAATCGTTCGACCAGAAAATCATTTGAATGTAAACAAATGTGAAACATTATTGAACATTATACATTATACGTGTTTTGTAGGTGATCCAAATGATAAAAGTTTAAGAAAAGTAGAGACAGAAGTACTTATACCACAGAAAATGCGCCAAAAGGCTAAAGAGGAAAAATGTTCAGAAGAAGTTAAAGGTAATGTGGATGTACTTTAAAAACATTCATGTTTCAATGTATTGTATAATATTTTTTTCTATATCTAAATTTGTAGAGTTTGCGAAGTGTTGTAAAGATTCTAGCTATTTAATGGTCATTAAGTGTAGGGATCAGAATTCTGCATTGAAAGCATGCTTAACAAAATGGTATACAGATGAAAAATTTAAAGAACTATGTACACAAGAATATTTAGAGGAAAGAAGCACATATCGAAGGACTGGTATAAAAAGAGAAAACTTACACAGAGCAGTTTAATAAGAATCTATTAGGACGGTATTGTAAATTTCAAAGCAGCAGGCAAGAACATCTACTAAGTTTTGAAAATATTTAGTTTTTATCAATAAGAGTAAGAAATCCATAAAGAATATGGTTTAATAAAGAAATAACATTTTCAATTACACTTTTTGTGCGTTTATTTATAAATTTAATAAATATGTTACAAAAAATTAACATGAATCGTCATCTTCCTCTTCTACATCCCGATTATGTTTGGGATTCCATCTTCTCCATAATAATTCTCTTATAGTAAATTCTGACAAAACATCGACATTAAGTATACTAGACGTTTGAGAAACTGATGATGGCCATAAAACTTGAGCAAATAATATTTCCTAAATTCAAAATAAAGTAAAATTTAGATAATTTATAATACAAAACGAAGTTCAAAGTTAAATAATTTACATATATTACCTTTGCAGCAGTTTCTGATAACCTATCTAGTCCTAATAATTGATTCCATGTTGATTTGTGCATAGATTTATTCTGATCTCTCATTAATGAATCAGCTTCTAAAACATCCACTATGACAATGTATGATGCGTGATAAAATGGTGGTCCTTGTTTATACAACACTATAACAAATTGTTTATGTCAATATTAATCAATTTTTCGTTTGATAAAATAAACTAAATAGAAGGAAAAAGTAACACTAACAAAAATCTCCACCATATTTAAGTCCTGGTTTAACTACCCATCCTTTGCTTCGAAAATAATGATATACAACATATTTTTGCACAAAATTTTTATCAGCTTTGCAAAACAAATGCCAGGCACTATCAATGTCTAATAAATTACCATCGAAACCTACTAAATTTAAACAACCTAAGCCATACAAAAGAAAAAATGTTTCTTCAAATGTGAGATGAAGAGTTTCTTGTACTGGAAAACTTCCACGTTCAATTTTAGGTTGTATTTCTTTTAAATAATTTTCAGTTTCTGAGTCACTGTTTGGCAAAACAAGTAATTTGCTCTGTACATCTGTGTCATCGTTAATAAAACATATGCTATCTTCCTTAAAATTAAAATCCTCAAAGCAATAAGATTCTTCTTTCTCTTCATTTACCACAGATTCTTTATTGTTACATTTAGTATTTTGAGATTGTTTGTTGAAATCTTTATTCACAATAATACATGCATCATCCTCTACTGTTAAATCAAGATCTATTTCATTAACTTCCATCCCTTTCATGATTGGGGGGTGATCTTCTCTGGAACATTTATCAGAAGAAACAAAATTTGTATCTATTTCAATTATTTCTGGAGCATTCTCTTTTTCTGGACTTTTTGATAATTTTTCATTTTCCTGAAGATCTCTAGTATGAGAAAATTCATCTTTATTTTCTTCAAAATCTGTACATTTACTATTGTTAGATTCCATACTAAGCTCGTTAAATTGTTTCAACCATTCCTGTCTACGAATCCACTGTCTTTCTCTTATAACAGGAGGTGCTCCATATCGTGCTTTCCCAAATGAAGGAAAACCACGTGATAATGAACCTTTGCCAAAAAAACCCTATACAAATAAAATTAAAGATAAATCCAATAATTTTATTATATGTATATAATAAGTCCTCAACTTACATGATTAATTTGTTCTAAAGCAGTCTACGTAAGTGAAATATAGGGTGAAAGTAGAATTACATAAATGCAATGTACCACAAGGACTAAAAGTAATCAGTCTTGGGTAAAGTAAACTCTGATGTTATAATCAAAGAAAATGTGAATGGTATTAGTTAATCATTGTTAACTTACAAATCTTACAAAGACTGATTTTTTGTTTTCTCACAATGTTTGGCACATAATCTTAGTTTTAATAGTTAATCAAAATTAAATACATGTAAATTTAATTTTTCATGCAAAGAAAAAATTTTATAAAACATGCATAAAAGTACACATAGGAACATAACTGTAACTCGAGGACTGAATCTTATACATGTATATATTAGTAAACTACATTACCATAGAATGTACAGCGACAATTTCATTTGGTTCGATTATGCATGATCCTAAATCTGTAAGATGAGCAGTGTAAGTTATCCACTCATTTTTATCACCCACTACAATTGGAAATGGTAGTTCTTCCTTTAATTTAACGTGACGTTTCTTTTTTGGTTCCCTCAAATTCATATTTTTATTTGATATGATAACATGCACAGATACGGTAGGACACAATTATGAAGTGTTAAGGAATTTATAAATTAAATAACTTCATTCTTGGACATATGTGTATTAATGGTTGTAATGACAAACGCGGATTTATTACGCAATTTTCCAATAATTAAGTATGAACACATAATTAACAAAAGGACCATTCATAATGATATTTTACTTCGAAATACACAACCTATATTATAGTTTTAATATATATAACGATATAATAATCGTTAAGGTTGTGGAATTTGAAAATTTAAATAACAATTACTGTAATAGTTTAAAATTATCATTATTAACATAATCTCATTGAATTTTCAGAACAATTAATGGTACGTATCTATCACAAAAACACAAAATTATAAAAAGAAACTGAGAGAAATGTACTATTTCTCATGGCATTTTACCACCGAAGACGCAGATATAGGTTTGTAATATAGTTTCTCCTGGTCATCGCCAGATGGCTTCTGTATCTATTTTTTTTCATGTATCTCTTAGCATATGCACTGCACTTTTTCTACATTTTTTATATAAACTCTTTGACATATGGTTACAAAAATATTTACATTTCTCCTGTATCTATTGTTTGTTTGTTTGTTTGTTTTTATTTAAAGTGCATGGGCATCTTCCATATCGCACTACTTTGTGTATTTTCTCGTATCTATTATAAACAGGAGCATAAATTTTCTATTACCTGTTATGTACAAACTAGATATAGGTGGTTCTTTCTCAACTGTCTACTCACAACAAAATTCAAATACAGAAAGTATTAATAACGATATATTTTCTATAATAAAATTCTTAAATTACTATTCGATTATGATTTGTATCTTGTGCCCCTCGAAGTAGAGAAGGGGAAGATTCGAAGGCTCGTTGGATCCATCCACAAAAGAATTTACGAAACATTAATAACACACCATAATCATATTCCCCATCATTGGTTAAATAATAAGTATTGTTAATAATTAATTTAACTACTATCAGATATTAATATTTAGTTGGTGTAATCACGGTTCAGAATCGAGACATAATTAAAAATTGTGTCACCTTTTCGAGTATCATGTTCTCCTGATACAAAAAGGTAAGTTTTGAGAAAAAATAAAAAACTGTGCCACCTCTTCGAGTATCATGTTTTCCTGATACAAAAAAGGTAAGTATCGAGACAGAATTAAAAATTGTGGCACCTCTTCGCGTCTCACGTTCTCCTGATACAAAAAGGTAAGTTTTGAGAATAAATAAACAACTGTGCCACCTCTTCGAGTATCATGTTTTCCTGATACAAAAATGTCAAATTCAAGCCAGAATTAAAAATGGTGGCAGCATACTCCTGATACCAGGAGTAAAATTCTCTGAATTAGGCAACCTATATTAACAGGTAAGTCGGGCCGGTTGCCTGTCCGTAGGCGCAAACGTGCCACCTCTTCGCATATCATGTGCTCCTGATAC